TGTGGGGGTGTAGGAGGGTGTAGGGTGTGGGGGTGTGGAAGTGTAGGGTGTGTGGGGTGTAGGGGTGTAGGGTGTGAGGGTGTGGGGGTGTAGGGTGTGGGGGGTAGGGTGTGGGGGTGTAGGGTGTGGGGTGTAGGGGTGTAGGGTGTGGGAGGTGTAGGGTGTGGGGGTGTAGGGTGTAGGGTGTAGGGGTGTTAGGGTGGAAGTGTGGGGTGTGGGGTGGAAGGGGTGTAGGGTGTAGGGTGTGGGGGTGTGTAGGGTGTTGGGGGTAGGGTGTGGGGGTGTAGGGTGTAGGGTGTAGGGGTGTAGGGTGTAGGGTGTGTGGGGTGTAGGGTGTGGGGGTGTAGGGTGTAGGGGGTGTGTGGGGTGTAGGTGTAGGGGTGTAGGGTGTGAGGGGTGCTTAGGGTGTGGGGGTGTAGGGTGTAGGGGTGTAGGGTGTGTGGGGGTGTAGGGTGTGGGGGTGTAGGGTGTAGGGTGTGGGGTGTAGGGTGTGTAGGGTGTGGGGGTGTGTGGGGTGTTGGGTGTGGGGGTGTAGGGTGTGGGGGTGTAGGGTGTGTGGGTGTAGGGTGTGTAGGGTGTAGGGGTGTAGGGGTGTGTAGGGTGTGGGGTGTAGGGTGTGTAGGGTGTGGGTGTGTAGGGTGTGGGGGTGTTGGGTGTGGGGGTGTAGGGTGTGGGGTGTAGGGTGTGGGGTGTGGGGGTGCTAGGGTGTGGGGGTGTAGGGTGTGGGGTGTTGGGGGTGTGGGGGTGTTAGGGGTGTAAGGGGTGTTGGGGGTGTAGGTGTGGGGGGTGTAGGGTGTGGGGTGTAGGGTGTGGGGGGTGTGGGGTGTGGGGTGTAGGGTGTGGGGGTGCAGGGTGTGGGGGTGTGGGGGTGTAGGGTGGCAGGTGTAGGGTGTGAGGGTGTAGGGTGTAGAGGGTGTAGGGTGTGTGGGGGTGTGTGTGTGCTCCTTGTCTCTCTTGGAGTTAGGTTGGGATTAGGATTGGAGTTAGGTTAGGTTGGGTTAGGTTAGGATTGGAGTTAGGTTAGAGTGTTTAATTTAGTCAACCCACATAGTCCTGAGACAGACAGACAGACAGACAGACAGAAATACCACCCAATCATCATATCTCTTAAAAAATCCACAAAAAATCCGGATTTACCAATGACGTCATGTGAGGAATGCGGAACCTGATGACACGTGAACGCCAAGACGTGTGTTTGTGGGGCACTGATGACGTCACGAGAGGTACACAAACTCGTAATATATCCACCACTAAAAATTCCGGATTTACTTATGACGTCATGTGTGTTTTTCTGACCCAGATGATGACGTCACATGAGAGAGAGAGAGAGAAGAGAGAGAGCCAGAGAGAGAAGAGAGAGAGAGAGCCAGAGAGAGAGAGAGAGAGAGAGAGCCAAGAGAGAGCCAGAGAGAACCAGAGAGACAGAGAGAGAGAGACATTACCTCACTATTTATGTTATCAGTTAAAATAATCTTGGCATTATATAGTTCAAGCTAATCTAAATGAGTATAGGGGGCAGGGCTACTTCCTCTCACCCCCGCGGCTAACCTTCTCTCTGCAACATGCGAAACCCTCCCTCTCTGGCCTCCGCCTGCCTGTCTCACTCTGCCTCACCCTGCTGCCTCCCTGCGCCTCTCTGCCTGCCTGCCTGCCTCCCTGCGTCTCCTGGCCTCCGGTCTATGCGGCCTTCCTTATGGGCCCTGCCGCCTCGTAACGCCTGCCTCCGAACGCCGCCTGCCTCCTGCCTCCTGCCTGCCTGCCTCCCACAGCCACCTCCACTATTATGTAATAGCATGTATGCGGCACGTAAATCGAAACATACTATAAAATAATGCACCCTGCCTCCAACACCTGCCTGCAGCACTCTGCTATGCCAGCCACTCTATGCACGGTGTTTTATTGTGCAGTACATCAACAGCCAGTTCTGGAGATATAGTGGTAAAAGGTGAGTGTCTCCTCTCTCAGGTGTTTGGTGACTAGTAGGTATGTGCTTGGTGACTGTAGGTATGTGTTTGGTGACTGTGTAGGTAGGGTGCTGGTGACTGTAGGTATGTGTTTGGTGACTGTAGGTATGTGTTTGGTGACTGTAGGTATGTGTTTGGTGACTGTGTAGGTATGTGCTTGGTGACAGGTATGTGTTTGGTGACTGTAGGTATGTGCTTGGTGACTGTATGTATGTTTGTGACTGTAGTGTGGTGACTATGTAGGTATGTGCTTGGTGACTGTAGGTATGTGTTTGGTGACTGTAGGTATGTGCTTGGTGACTGTAGGTATGTGCTTGGTGACTGTGTAGGTATGTGCTTGGTGACTATGTAGGTATGTGCTTGGTGACTGTAGGTATGTGCTGGTGACTGTAGGTATGTGTTTGGTGACTGTAGGTATGTGCTTGGTGACTATGTAGGTATGTGTTTGGTGACTGTAGGTATGTGTGGTGACTGTGTAGGTATGTGTTTGGTGACTGTGGGTATGTGCTTGGTGACTATGGTATGTGCTTGGTGACTGTAGGTATGTGCTGGTGACTATGTGGGTATGTGCTTGGTGACTGTAGGTATGTGCTTGGTGACTATGTAGGTATGTGCTTGGTGACTGTAGGTATGTGCTGTGACTGTGTAGGTATATGTTTGGTGACTGTAGGTATGTGCTTGGTGACTATGTAGGTATGTGCTTGGTGACTGTAGGTATGTGCTTGGTGACTGTAGGTATGTGTTTGGTGACTGTAGGTATGTGCTGGTGACTGTAGGTATGTGTTTGGTGACTGTAGGTGTGCTTGGTGACTGTAGGTATGTGTGGTGACTGTAGGTATGTGCTTGGTGACTATGTAGTTATGTGCTTGGTGACTGTAGGTATGTGTTTGGTGACTGTAGGAGTATGTGCTTGGTGACTGTAGGTATGTGCTGGTGACTGTGTAGGGTATGTGCTGGTGACTATGTAGGTATGTGCTGGTGACTGTGTAGGTATGTGCTTGGTGACTGTAGGTATGTGTTTGGTGACTGTGTAGGCATGTGCTTGGTGACTGTGTAGGTATGTGCTTGGTGACTGTAGGTATGTGTTTGGTGACTGTAGGTATGTGCTTGGTGACTGTGTAGGCGGATGTGCTTGGTGACTGTGTAGGCATGCAAAGCTGGTGACTATGAGGTATGTGCTTGGTGACTGTAGGTATGTGCTGTGACTGTGTAGGTGCTGTGTTTGGTGACTGTAGGCAAGCTGGTGACTATGTAGGTATGTGTTTGGCAGACTGTAGGAAGTGTGCTTGGTGACTGTGTGTGCAGCCAAGGACTGTAGGTATGTGCTTGGTGACTATGTAGGTATGTGCTTGGTGACTGTAGGTATGTGCTGGTGACCTGGTAGGCATGTGCTTGGTGACTGTGTAGGCATGTGCTTGGTGACTATGTAGGTATGTGCTTGGTGACTGTAGGCATGTGCTTGGTGTGACTGTGCAGGCATATGTTTGGTGACCCAGGTATGTGCTTGGTGACTATGTAGGCATGTGTGCTTGGTGACCCCAGGTATGTGCTGGTGACTGTGTATGTGCCTAGTGACTGTAGGCGTGCTGGTGACTGTAGGTATGTGCTTGGTGACTGTAGGTATGTGCTTGGTGACTGTAGGTATGTGCTTGGTGACTGTAGGTATGTGCTGGCATTGCGTAGTTGGCGTGGCCAGGACTGTAGGCATGTGTTTGGTGACTGTAGGTATGTGCTTGGTGACTGAAAGGCAAAGCTTGGTGAGACTGTGCAGGTATGTGCTTGGTGACTGTAGGTATGTGCTTGGTGACTGTGTAGGTATGTGCTTGGTGACTGTAGGTATGTGCTTGATGACTGTGTAGGCATGTGTTTGGTGACTGTGTAGGTATGTGTTTGGTGACTGTAGGTATGTGCTTGGTGACTGTAGGTATGTGCTTGGTGACTGTGTAGGTATGTGCTTGGTGACTGTGTAGGCATGTGCTTGGTGACTGTGTAGGTATGTGCTTGGTGACTGTGTAGGCATGTGCTTGGTGACTGTGTAGGTAGGTGATTTGATTTTTTGATTTTGATTTTGCCGCTTGCAGCGGCTACTTTATTGTGCACCCCACACTCATCCTGTGAGCGGTAGCGCAAAAGGATTACAGAGTAGGGTTTACAAAGGGTCATAATAATTAACCCCCGTTGTCAGGATATTATGGCACTGAAAGTTACACAGTATTTCATTTACATTATTTGTTTAGTTCTACACATAAAGGGTAACTTATTCACAACTGCGTGAGTACAGGCGTGTGAGGCAGTATGTCTGGCCTCACACTTTGTTATTCACATTTACGTGGGAGGTATTCAAGCACATTGTGTATTTGGTTCTGTACATGAGAACTGATATAGTTACTAAGTGCAAAAAAGTGGATACAATCTTAATATGTCGGCTATCTTGCCATTAGAGATGAAGTGTTGTGCCATTTCACACACAGTGTGCTTGGACCTGTCCCTAAAAGGTTCTATCTTCACACAGTCAAGGACGTAGTGTTCAAGTGTGTGGCCATATGTATGGCCACACACTTTACATTTAGTTTTGTTTACATCTGCTTGAGGAACATACTGCCAGAGGTACTTATATCCTAACCTTAATCTAGCGGTTACAACATCTTGTAATCTAGTGATCTTGTTACTTGCTCCATATACATGTTTCACTTGATACATCTCATCATGGTAACCTATGGATCGACTAGTGCCTGTTTGCACTTGTCTACTTGCGTCAAACTCATCAATAAGTTCTCTCCTAATTACAGTTTTAAGGGTTCTTTTTGACAGACCCAAATTGTATTCCACGGTGTCTTTGTTAGACGCGAGTTTGGCGAGGGCATCAACTCTGTCATGTTTTATGAGGCCTATGTGAGAGGGGATCCACAACAGTTTGACCCTGACACCCCGGTCAACAAGTAACGCATATTTGTGTCTGGCTTCAGAGACAAGATCGTGACAACCTGAGTCGAGGGTACCAAGGGCAAGTAGTGAGGATAGAGAGTCAGTGATGATGAGACTGTCAGTAACAGTGGTTTCAATGAATTTAATAGCTGTGAGTATGGCAACTAATTCAGTTTGTAGAGTGGATGCCCAGTTGTTAATTCTAACTCCTTTCTCAATTATATTACCGTCAGGTTGAGTCACAACAATAGCACTTCCAGCCCTCCCACAGGCGGTGTTTAGAGATCCATCAGTGTAGATGGTCTGTGTGATATTATCATCAGTCTGTAGAGTGTGTATGTGTTCAAGGGCTCTCAATTTGGCAGTGTGTTGGAGATAAATGCTTTGTATAATTAATTTTTTAGGCGGATACGTCGGTATTGTGATATCGAAGGGAACTGTCCGCCAGGGTGGCAGGAAGCGCTGTTGTGTCTCAACTTTGTACAGGTGGTCTAGTCCAAATATCTTCATATGTGTAGCTGTAGTTTGGATCCATTTAGACTCAGTAGTCCCATGGTTCATACATTCTAGCAATTTTAAGGAAACAATGTTATCAGGATCACCACGCAGAAGCCTCAGGGCTATCATGAGGTTGACTTCAATTATTCTATCTTTAACACTGGGTATACCTAGTTCTTTCCTCATATTAAGTACTTTAGTGCTCATGGGACATCCTAGGATAATTCTGAGGGCTTTATTTTGCATTTTCTCGAGCTTGTCAACGCCTTTCCCGTCACGAATGACCAGGGCTTGTGCGTGGTAATCTATCAGAGATCTTATATAGCCTAGGTACATTGTTTTAACAATTCTAATATTAGCACCATAGTGCGGGCTGTACCCCGCTACACTTCTAAGAGGTCTCAGTCTGTCAGTACATTGGCGGGTTAGCTGTTGTATGGCAGGTAGGGTACAAGGGACGGAAACACCAAGATATTTAAAAGAAGAAACATAGTCAATAGTGTTGTTACCTATCTTGAACTTGGCGGGGCCGCGTTTGCGGTTACCAGCTTGTTTGTTGAACACCTTAGTTTTGTCAGTGGAGATAATAAGACCGAGGTGTTCACAGGCTGCGTATACATGGTTCAGGGTGGTTTGCATTTCACGATGAGTTTTAGTATGTATAAGAATATCATCAGCATAGCTGATTGAGATATTGCTGGGGTTGTCTGGTATTAAATTTAATAATGCATTCATAAGAACATTGAACAAAGTGGGGCTAAGTACTCCACCTTGAGGGGTACCAAGTTGCATATCTTTAACTTCACTTTTGTAACCCTGAAACAGTGCAGCAGCCCTTCTGTTGGTTAGGTAACCACTTATCCAGTGTAACAGCCTACCTCCTATATCCATTTTGGCTAGTTCGTACAATATCAGTTGCCTATTGGCAATATCAAATGCAGCTTTTAGGTCAAGAAATGTGGTGTATCTGTGCCTTTCATCACCATGCACAGTTAGGAATGTGGTGATGCAATTATGTACACCTTTACCATGGGTGAAGCCATTTATGTTAGAAGACATGTGTTCTCTATAAGAGTCTGCCAAGAACCATCCTCTCAAAGGTTTTACACAGGCAGCTGGTTAGTGATATGGGACGAAAGGCATCAGGCTGTCCTGGTTTCGGTATTGGTACAACAATACTGCTGGTCCTTGGTGACTGTAGGTATGTGCTTGGTGACTGTGTAGGTATGTGCTTGGTGACTGTAGGTATGTGCTTGGTGACTGTGTAGGTATGTGCTTGGTGACTGTAGGTATGTGCTTGGTGACTGTGTAGGCATGTGTTTGGTGACTGTGTAGGTATGTGCTTGGTGACTGTAGGTATGTGCTGTGCTGTGGACTGTAGGTGCTTGGTGACTGGTATGTGTGGTGACTGTGTAGGCATGTGTTTGGTGACTGTGTGGGTATGTGTTTGGTGACTGTGTGGGTATGTGCTTGGTGACTGTGTAGGTATGTGCTTGGTGACTGTGGGTATGGTGCTGAGTGACTGTAGGTATGTGTGGTGACTGTGTAGGTATGTGCTTGGTGACTGTAGGTGTGTGGTGACTGTGTGGTACTGTTGGTGACTGTGGTATGTGTGGTGACTGTAGGATGTGTGTAGTGACTGTAGGTATGTGTGGTGACTGTGTAGGTATGTGTGGTGACTGTGGTATGTGTGGTGACTGTGTATATGTTATGGGTATGTGTGGTGAGTGATGTGCTTGGTGACTGTGGTATGTGACTGTGAGTATGTGTGGTGACTGTGTAGGCATGTTTGGTGACTGTGTGGTATGTGTTTGGTGACGTGTGTGTGCTTGGTGACTGTGTGGGTATGTGTTTGGTGTATGTGTGGTGACTGTATGTGGGTATGTGTGGTGACTGTGGGTATGTACTTGATGTGCTTGGTGACTGTAGGTATGTGCTTGGTGACTAGGTATGTGTAGTGACTGTAGGTATGTGTTTGGTGACTGTGTAGGTATGTGTTTGGTGACTGTAGGTATGTGTTTGGTGACTGTGGGTATGTGTTTGGTGACTGTGTAGGTATGTCTTGGTGACTGTAGGTATGTGCTTGGTATGTAGGTATGTGACTCTTGGTGACTGTGGGTATGTGCTTGGTGACTTGTGTGACTGTGGGTATGTGTTTGGTGAGTGTATGTGTTTGGTGACTGTGTGAGGTATGTGCTTGGTGACTGTGTAGGTATATATGGTGACTGTGGTATGTGCTTGGTGACTGTAGGTGCATGTGCTTGGTGACTGTGGGTATGTGCTTGGTGACTGTGTAGGTATATGCTTGGTGACTGTAGGTATGTGCTTGGTGACTGTAGGTATGTGTGGTGACTGTAGGTATGTGCTTGGTGACTGTGTAGGTATGTGCTTGGTGACTGTAGGTATGTGTGGTGACTGTAGGTATGCTTTGTGACTGTAGGTATGTGCTTGGTGACTGTGTAGGTATGTGCTTGGTGACTGTAGGTATGTACTTGGTGACTGTGGGTATGTGATGACTGTGTGGGTGTGTGTGGTGACTGGGTGTTGTTGGTGACTGTGTGTAGCTTGTGACTGTGTATGTGCTTGGTGACTGTAGGTAGTGCTATGTGTGGGTGACTGTGGGCTGTACTTGGTGACTGTAGGTATGTGTGTGACTGTGTGTATGTGTGGTGGTAGTGACTGTGTAGGTGACTGTAGGTATGTGCTTGGTGACTGTAGGTATGTCCTGGTGACTGTAGGTATGTACTTGGTGACTGTAGGTATGACTGTAGGTATGTGTTTGGTGACTGTGTAGGTATGTCCTTGGTGACTGTGTATGTTTGGTGACTGTGTATGTGGGTGACTGTTGTGTTTGACTGTAGGTAGGTGACTGTAGGTATGTGCTTGGTGTGTAGGTATGTCCTTGGTGACTGTAGGTATGTGCTGTAGGTATGTGCTTGGTGACTGTAGGTATGTCCTTGGTGACTGTAGGTATGTACTTGGTGACTGTAGGTATGTGCTTGGTGACTGTAGGTATGTGTTTGGTGACTGTGTAGGTATGTCCTTGGTGACTGTAGGTATGAACTTGGTGACTGTAGGTATGTGCTTGGTGACTGTAGGTATGTACTTGGTGACTGTAGGTATGTGTTTGGTGACTGTGTAGGTATGTCCTTGGTGACTGTAGGTATGTACTTGGTGACTGTAGGTAAATAATAATAATAATAATAATAATAATAATAATAATAATAATTAGCGGTTTATTGAAAAAGTTCTGCAGCCCGAAGGCTGAAAATATACATTGGACATAAATGACTTATTACATAAATTGGTGGTTTAACAAAAGCCTTCATTAGAGAAAGGTGAAGGAACATACAGTGAACATACAGATTAATGTAGGTGTTGAACAGCAAACACGTAGTGTAGTAACTCCCTCCCAGATGGTGTTAGGAGGGACCTCACGTGGTGGAGTAGTTCCCTCAGATGGTGTTAGGAGGGACCTCACATGGTGTAGTAGTTCCCTCACAGATGGTGTTATGAGGGACCACGTGGTGTAGTAATTCCCTCACAGATGGTGTTATGCGGGGCCTCACGTGGTGTAGTAATTCCCTCACAGATGGTGTTATGAGGGGCCTCACGTGGTGTAGTAATTCCCTCACAGATGGTGTAATGAGGGGCCTCACGTGGTGTAGTAATTCCCTCACAGATGGTGTTATGCGGGGCCTCACGTGGTGTAGTAATTCCCTCACAGATGGTGTTATGCAGGGCCTCACGTGGTGTAGTAATTCCCTCACAGATGGTGTTATGAGGGGCCTCACGTGGTGTAGTAATTCCCTCACAGATGGTGTTATGAGGGACCACGTGGTGTAGTAATTCCCTCACAGATGGTGTTATATGAGTGAGGTGTGGTTCCAGACCTTCCTATCGTAGACGGATTAACACATCGCCGGTTGTTGGGTCTCACAGGCCGTTATCACTGGGTACCTGGGACCTCACTGTGTGAAGGTCAACCCGGGTACGACTGTTACTGTTGAGTACTGGTATGTGTTTGGTGACTGTAGGTATGTGTTTGGTGACTGTAGGTATGTGCTTGGTGACTGTAGGTATGTGCTTGGTGACTGTAGGTATGTGCTTGGTGACTGTGTAGGTATGTGCTTGGTGACTGTGTAGGCATGTGTTTGGTAACTGTGTAGGTATGTGCTTGGTGACTGTAGGTATGTGCTTGGTGACTGTGTAGGTATGTGCTTGGTGACTGTGTAGGCATGTGTTTGGTAACTGTGTAGGTATGTGCTTGGTGACTGTAGGTATGTGCTGTGTGATGTGTACTGGTATGTGCTTGGTGACTGTACTGTGTAGGCATGTGCTTGGTGACTGTGTAGGTATGTGCTTGGTGACTGTAGGTATGTGTTTGGTGACTGTAGGTATGTGCTTGGTGAGAAAATTTATCATACTCAAGGGGTTAAGTCATCATACTCAAGGGGTTAAGTCATCATACTCAAGGGATTAAATCATCATACTCAAGGGGTCAAATCATCATACTCAAGGGGTTAAGTCATCATACTCAAGGGGTCAAATCATCATACTCAAGGGGTCAAATCATCATACTCAAGGGGTTAAGTCATCATACTCAAGGGGTTAAATCATCATACTCAAGGGGTTAAATCATCATACTCAAGGGTTAAATCATCATACTCAGGGTTAAATCATCATACTCAAGGGGTTAAATCATCATACTCAAGGGTTAAATCATCATACTCAAGGGGTTAAATCATCATACTCAAGGGGTTAAATCATCATACTCAAGGGGTTAAATCATCATACTCAAGGGTTAAATCATCATACTCAAGGGGTTAAATCATCATACTCAAGGGGTTAAATCATCATACTCAAGCTGTTAAATCATCATACTCAAGGGGTTAAATCATCATACTCAAGGGGTTAAATCATCATACTCAAGGGGTCAAATCATCATACTCAAGGGGTCAAATCATCATACTCAAGGGGTTAAATCATCATACTCAAGGGGTTAAATCATCATACTCAAGGGGTTAAATCATCATACTCAAGGGGTCAAATCATCATACTCAAGGGGTCAAATCATCATACTCAAGGGGTTAAATCATCATACTCAATATTTATCCAATTAACGATAATAGTAAATTAATCAACTTTACCTGACAATAAGGTGATGGTGATTTGTACCACAGGATGAAGGACGCGCAGTATACTACATCATCCTTCGAAAAAAAAATAAATGTTATGACGTCATTTATTACACCATCCTGCGAAAAAAAATTAAATGTTATGACGTCATTTATTACATCATCCTGCGAAAAAAAATTAAATGTTATGACGTCATTTATTACACCATCCTGCGAAAAAAAAATTAAATGTTATGACGTCATTTTTTACACCATCCTGCGAAAAAAAAATTAAATGTTATGACGTCATTTATTACATCATCCTGCGAAAAAAAATTAAATGTTATGACGTCATTTATTACATCATCCTGCGAAAAAAATATTAGGACTTCAATTAGATATTTTATTACACCTGTCATCATCATCATCATAATCATCATCGTCATCATTATCAGAATTACAGAAATATTATTATTATTTATGTATTAAGTAATGACTGTATGTTGTTATGTTACAGACAGCAAGATGGCGCAGAAATACCTGGTGACGTTAATGTTGGTGACGCTACTGGCCTTCCCCTGCTGTGTGGCTGATGATGGTAAGGGTGTGGGTGGGTGTGGGTGTGTGTGTGTGTGTGTGTGTGTGTGTGTGTGTGTGTGTGTCATCACAAAAACATGCAGTGAGGCCCTCGGCCAGACCAAAATAAAACACCAGGGGAGGTTTGATGAAAACAACCCGGAAATTAACGGACTCGTCAATAGTAAACGAGCTGCTCTCACTGACTGGCAGAACAACCCTCAGTCTCAGACCAAAGCTGATACCTTCCACCAGAAGAAAGCAGCGGCCCAGCGCCAACTCCGTAAACTAATGAACGACTGGTAGATAAATAACGGGTGTGAAATGCAAAACTTTGCAGATCAACACAAGATGTGTGAATTTTTTAATTCCACTAAAGCAATATATGGTCCAACTACTCATGTCGTGGCCGCCTCCACTCATCCGACGGTAACTCCCTAATTAAAGACGATGAAGGCCTCCTTCAGGGCTGGAAAGAGCACTACCATTCACTGCTCAACTGTAACACTGATGTGGATGTCCTGACTACCCAGAGCTGACCCACCTCAGCTATCCTCCATCCCTGGATGAGGTAGTTACTGCCATCAAACAGATGAAGAATAACAAAGCCACAGGACCTGGTGGAATCCCAGCCGAGGTGTATAAACCTGGAGGACCTCTGCTTACCAGAATATATGAGAAAACGCGGAAATCCCCCAAGCTCTTAAAGACGCCTCGATCGTCACTATTTATAAGAACAAGGGAGACCGGTCAGACTGTGGCAACTACCGTGGGATCTCGCTGCTGTCCATAACTGGCAAGATTATCGCCCAAGTCCTCCAAAACAGACTTCTTCCTGAGGAGGAAAACTTCCTCCCAGAATCTCAATGTGGCTTTAGACCATCACATGGCACCACTGACATGATCTTTGCTGCCCGCCAGATACAGGAAAAGGGCAGAGAATAGCGTTGTGACCTGTACATGGCTTTCATCGACCTAACCAAGGCCTTCGACTCGGTCAACAGGGAAGCCCTCTGGCGGACCCTCAGCCGTTTTGGCTGCCCACCAAAATTCATGGCCATTGTGAGGCAACTCCAAGGTGGCATGAACGGCAGTGTCCTCAGGGCCGGTGCAAGATGATTTGGCGCCCTAGGCAAGCCTTTAGATGTGCGCCCCCTTGAAAGTTTTGATAAGCTAATGTAGGTACAGTAACCCATTACTACATTGTTTTCATCTTGTGGCTTTATTACTTCACCCATGCAAATAACCAATTATTGTTATTACATTAAGTCAATAAATCCTTGACGTAAACTTCAGAGGTCAGGTAACCCTGCCTCATCCCGACAAAGACAGGGAAGGGGCGACTCAGCCGCCCTGGTAGTAAGGGAGGGGAGGGGATGGTGGGGTTGGGAGAAGGGTTCCTCAGATGTCAGCCTTCAGGTCACTGCTCGACAGTTCTCCAGGCCGCCAAAGATAAGGACCCGGTTAGTCCCTCCGGGGGGTTAACGAATAATATTAAAAAAGAAAACACAGTCGGCTACCGTCTACCTACCCTCGCCTCCCTCCGACCCCCCACCCTTCTAACATCCTGCTCCGACCCTCCACGGCTCCACCACAGTGTCCACCACAGTTTTCCCTTCATTTTCAATTTTATCCAAGTTTGCCCTGAATTTGTGGCGCCCCCAGATGTTGGCGCCCTAGGCGATCGCCTAGTTCGCCTAGTGGGTAGCGCCGGCCCTGAGTGTCCTGCACAATGGCACCCAGTCAGAGGTCTTCCCATTCAAACGGGGGCAAAACAAGGATGTGTACTGGCACCAACTCTCTTTTCCATTTTCTTGGCTGCCTTCCTTAATTTTGCCAATGCCAATTTAGCTGGCGGGGTGAACATCCAGTACTGGATGAAGGGTTTTTCAACATAAGATGACTCCAGGCAGTAACAAAGGTGTCCAAGCTTCCATTACTGAACTTCGGTATGCAGATGACCTCAACCTCGTCACTCACACTGAACACGACCTACAAGAGATCCTGTACTCCTATGCAGATGCGTATGCACACTTCGGCCTTGGGGTGAATGCACATGAGACTCAGATTCTCTTCCAGCCTGCCCCTGGTTCAGCCACACCTCCACCACCCATCCAGCTTAACAGTACTACCCTCTCTAATGTTACCCACTTTCAGTACCTTGGCTCCCACCTGTCCACGACCGCCGACTTCAATGAAGAGATTCAACATCGGATCAGATGTGCATCTCAAGCCTTTGGCAGACTCCGTACCCGTGTCTTCAGCTGTAGGGAGCTCAAATTATCTACAAAGTTGCACATATATCGAGCAGTGGTCCTCCCCACCCTGCTATATGGCAGTGAGACATGGGTCACATACAGGAGGCACCTCAAGGTACTTGAAAACTTTCACCAACGTAGTCTACGTTCCATCCTCCGAGTTAGCTGGGAAGACAAGAGAACACTTACCAATATTGTTGCTGACACCAACTGTAGGAGCATCGAGGCTCCCATTATCCATGAACAACTACGCTGGACTGGCCATGTTACCCACATGGACGACAGTAGACTGCCAAAGCAGCTACTTTACAGTCACCTAATGAATAGTAAACGTAACGCTGGCGGGCAACTGAAAAGGTATAAGGATAGTCTTAAGACAAACCTGAAAAGGTGCCAAATGGACCCCCTCACCTGGGAGACGATTACTGCACACCGTAACTCTTGGAGGAGCACCACACGAGAAGGTGTCAATACTTTCGTGTTAACCCGACTGTATACCGAGGCAGACAAGCGCCAGGCCGGAAAATCGCTACCGCCGCCCCTCCCGCACTACATGTAGCCCTCCACATGTCACAGAGGTGACATCCTTCCTAACTCATATCAGTGTATCATAGCTGGATGATCGTCATACTCGATTCCTAGTGACGGCAAAGTAGTAGTAGTAGTAGTAGTAGTGTGTGTGTGTGTGTGTGAATTTCCTCCCTATTTTACGATTTCCCTACCTATTATATCACTCTTCTCCGTACCTCAGTCCACCACGTCTCGTTTTCATTGCAGACGACATACTGACGGGGATAAAGAGCCAGTTGAGTACCATCGCCACCACCTTGAAGGACCTCATGAATATTGTCATACCATCCACCACCACTCAACCCCCAACTGAACCACCAACTGAACCCCCAACTGAACCCCCAACTGAACCACCAACTGAACCACCAACTGAACCCCCAACTGAACCACCAACTGAACCACCAACTGAACCCCCAACTGAACCCCCAACTGAACCCCCAACTGAACCACCAACTGAACCACCAACTGAACCACCAACTGAACCACCAACTGAACCACCAACTGAACCCACAACCGAATCACCAACTGAACCCCAACTGAATCACCAACTGAACCCACAACTGAACCACCAACTGAACCACCAACTGAACCAACTGAACCCCAACTGAACCCCCAACTGAACCCCCAACTGAACCAATTAACTGAACCCCCAACTGAACCCCAACTGAACCCCCCAACTGAACCCCAACAACCACCAACTGAACCCCCAACTGAACCCCCCAACTGAACCCCCAACTGAACCCCCAACTGAACCACCAACTGAACCCCCAACTGAACCCCCAACTGAACCCCCAACTGAACCCCCAACTGAACCCCAACTGAACTGAACTCCCCAACTGAACCCCCAACTGAACCCCCAACTGAACCCCCAACTGAACCCCCAACTGAACCCCCAACTGAACCCCCAACTGAACGAACCACCAACTGAACCACCAACTGAACCCCCAACTGAACCCCCCAACTGAACCCCAACTGAACCCCCAACTGAACCACCAACTGAACCCCCAACTGAACCCCAACTGAACCCCAACTGAACCACCAACTGAACCACCAACTGAACCCCCAACTGAACCCCCAACTGAACCCTGAACAACTGAACCCCCAACTGAACCCCCAACTGAACCCCCAACTGAACCACCAACTGAACCCAACCGAACCCCCAACTGAACCCCCAACTGAACCACCAACTGAACCACCAACTGAACCCGCAACTGAACCACCAACTGAAAATAACTCAAACGATGACTCACTCCAAAAAAGACGTTTCGCCAGAGCCATTCACCTCACAGACCACAACCCCAACTTAGATGACAACACTGAACTCTGTGAACCACTCTCTGACGATGACGAAGATCCTTGCACCCGCCTACAGGAAGTCCTAAAGAACATTCAACAAGTAACTGAAGAAGTAAATGAAGGAAAGACTACCAAGGAACAACTCGACAATCTGAAGGAGTATTCTAAGGAACTCCAGGAGATTGTTGAGATAGCGAAGGAGAATTTAACCTTCGTGGAGGGATTAAATAAGGCAGTTTTTACCGATAAGGTTGATACGCTTGATGAGGTATGTCTGTCTATGTCTGTATGTCTACCTGTATGTCTGTCTGTATGTCTGTATAATGTAAATATTATGCACAGTGACTATAACAACTTTCCAAACCTAACCTAACCAAATCTAACTTAACCTATTTATTGTTCTCATTTCTACTCATTCTTACTCATTCTTATTCACCTCAACATATAAGAATATATTACCATTTATTCTCCTTTACAAATAGAATGTAAAGAAAGCTGAGGAAGCGGTGCAGAAAAAAATTGATGATCAAGGCAGTGGAAGCGACAACACCTTAGCTATTGTCTTCGGTGTGATCGGTGGGCTATTAGGCTTGGCTATTATATCCTACGGCTGCTATTTGCTGTATAAGGAGAAAAAAACGAAAAAAGCGCGGGTAAGTGAATTGTGGGTGGGTGGGTAGGTAGGTGGGTAGGTGTGGGTGGGTGGGTAGGTGGGTGTGGGTGGGTAGGTGTGGGTGGGTGGGTGGGTGGGTAGGTGTGTGGATATGTGTGGTTGGGTTATAGTAGTAATAGTAACGTTACACATCTGGTTAAGTGAGTATTTCGTTTCAGGGTGGAGGTGACAACAGCCAGGAGAACGGTGAAGTTAACGACGCATTCAACGAGGAGTAAATAAATTAAAAAAACACCAACGCAACTTTCTCGGTGTGTGTTTTTTGGTGTTTTCTTGGTGTTTGTTTAATAATTTTCTTTATTAATCAATGCATTTTCTTTGTTTTTTGTTTTAGTGGAAAAAAATTGAATTTCTTTATGTACGAACGCCAAGAGAGCCATCAAAACAATGGCTCTTGTTGTCAAATAAAACACTATATTATGCATTATGTATAAGATAAAAAAAATCCCTATGTATTCTTTAGTTATCATGTATATAAGCTTGTATGTATCATGAATATTAAAACCAATAGTGTTAAATTAATCTCTGTATCTTTTCATAATAAATTATTCGGATTACTTAAGACATATGTATCCTATGTATTAAATAACAGTTGGTTAGGTTATGGTTAGGTTAGGTTAGGTTAGGTTAGGTTAGGTTAGGTTAGCCTCGTGTAGGTGTCCCTCTGTACCCTGACCAACACTCCTATATAACATGTTAATGCCTCAGCGTCAGGTTTTATTGAGGCACGTTACGTCACCTGTCTACCTGTAATCACTAGCTTAATCAATATCACTCACCTGGGACATTTTTTCCTCAACTCTTATCTATATGTCTGTTGTAACTCATTCACTCTAACCTAACCTAACCTATATTAACCTAACCTAACCTAACCTACACGACTGACCACACAACACACCTGATGATAACGTCACACAGACCACCTACACTGTTAGCTCCCTTAACACCGAGAGCTGGAACTATTGACTCAACGTTATTAAAAGAGTTAACAACTAGACATCCACTCTAACAACCATTAAATATATTGAAACAACTGTAACTGACGGACCCATCATCACTGACTCTTGTTACGACCGTGTCGTATTTTTCTATTTTTTTTATATAACAGCTCCCATGTTCCATATTATTCCTGTAATGATGTGTTGTATTACTATTATATGTTCTAGTCACCTTAACCCTGTGCTGTTAAGGTTTTAACTGTAACTATTTGTTCTCTAACGACCATCTGCATCGTTAAACGACCCACCGGCGGGTCGCGTGGCGGGAGCCGACCTTATAGGACCCACCAACTGACGGAGTTAGTTCAGTCCTCTTGTCACACAGTCCACATCCTTTGAGTGTTACTTGTTACTTATACTTAATTTATTTGTGTTGTTCCTGTGGCCACCAATGTGGTATATCTATGTGAGTACCTATTTATGTCTCTGTTTATGTCCATCAGTATTTGCTTAGTTATTTAAGTAATTCAGTGTTGTCTCACGTTAGTTAATTTCAGTGTTAGTGTTTATACAGTGTTAACGTAATCCAATGGTTTATTTTTATTCTTTTGATGTTTCGATGTTTAGTATCATTTGTGTCTTAAAAGTTTCGATGGTGAATCAATTTGTTGTGACAGCCTACGAGGCTCTTTATTGTGTTAATATTTAATTAATTAAATTCTTAAAGGTTTACTTTATTTATTTTTATTCCCTTCTAAATTACTTCACATTTTTGTTTGGTTACGCCTAGAACCTGGATATTAAAGTAAATTAAGAGACGGCGTAACACTCTCTATCCTCACTACTTGGCCTTAACAACCTCGACGTAATGACAACGACCGTCTTGTGTATGATTAACGACACTGTGTAACATTCAGTGCCGTAATAACCTGACCTCGGAGGTTAGTTATAATGACCCTTTGTGACCTCTACTCTGTAATGACCCTTTGTGACCGCTACTCTGTAATGACCCTTTGTGACCGCTACTCTGTAATGACCCTTTGTGACCTCTACTCTGTAATGACCCTTTGTGACCGCTACTCTGTAATGACCCTTTGTGACCGCTACTCTGTAATGACCCTTTGTGACCGCTACTCTGTAATGACCCTACTCTGTAATGACCCTTTGTGACCGCTACTCTGTAATGACCCTTTGTGACCTCTACTCTGTAATGACCCTTTGTGACCGCTACTCTGTAATGACCCTTTGTGACCGCTACTCTGTAATGACCCTTTGTGACCGCTACTCTGTAATGACCCTTTGTGACCGCTACTCTGTAATCCGTTTGCGCTACCGCTCACAGGATGAGTAGGGGGTGCACAATAAACTAGCCCTCTGTAACTAGCAAAAATTAAATCCGTTTCATCCACTCCCAGCCCACTCACCCTCGGTAGACCCACCTTAGCCCACTCACCCTCGGTAGACCCACCTTAGCCCACTCACCCTCGGTAGACCCACCTTAGCCCACCTACCACCCACCTAACCAACCTCCCCCCCCCACCGGTAGCGTCAATTTGGGTTAATCATCAGGTATAATACGTTAGGGTGGTAATCTTCAGGTGATATCTTTGAAGCTTACAATAAAAACACTTATCCTTTCCATTAAAAACAGGATAAGCTTAAAATTATTTGTTATCTGCCTGGAACCACAACAGCTTGAGTAACCTGACCTTTCTTGGCATAATGTATTGACGTCATATGGTTGTGTGGCATACTGATCTGACCCTAATCTAACCTAACTTAACCCAACCTAACTTATCCAAATCTAACCTAACTTAGGCTAACATGAACTAATCTAACCTTCCTTAACCCAACCTAACTTATCCAAATCTAACCTAACTTAGGCTAACATGAACTAACCCAACCTAACTTAACCCAACCTAACTTATCCAAATCTAACCTAACTTAGGCTAACATGAACTAATCTAACCTACCTTAACCCAACCTAACTTATCCAAATCTAACCTAACTTAGGCTAACATGAACTAATCTAACCTAACTTAAACTAACCTAACTTAAACTAACCTAACCTTCCTTGTCCTGCTAAACCTAACGCTACGACAAATATAGATTCAGTCCACGACAAACTATCACACTTGAATTGGGTAATAACATGGTGTCGGATTTGGACAGTGACTCGACTGGGGGGGAGGGAGGTAGGTTAGAAGGGGTAGGTTAGAAGGAAGGGGGGTAGGTAGGAAGGGGGTAGGTTAGGAAGGGGGGGGTAGGTTAGAAGGGGGGAAGGTTAGGGTAGGAGGAAGGGGGTAGGTTAGATAGAGGGGGGTAGGTTAGGGCTAGGGGGGTAGGTTAGGAAGGGGTAGGTTAGGAAGGGGGTAGGTTAGAAGGGGGTAGGTTAGAAGGGGGGTAGGTTAGGAAGGGGAGGCTAGGGGGGGTAGGCTAGGAAAGGGGGTAGGCTAGGAAGGGGGTAGGCTAGGAAGGAGGTAGGTTAGGAAGGGGGTATACTAAGAGGGCAGTAGTAATGGGGGTAGGATAGAAAGGTGAAGAAATTACCTCAGCTATTTGACCGGAAGACGAACATAAGCTGCTGCGCCATAGATAACACACCTGATACCTTTATCTCACTAATACACAACCCTGATAAGTCTTAATCCAGGTCATAATAATATGTATGTATACTTCTGACGCCTTCAAGATAGTGGTGACACACACACACACAATCCCTGATATAACGTAAAACGGATTTATAGTATTTATTGATTTACGTACCCATAACGCCAACCTTTACTATCATAACCAGAAGCTAGTGACTTAGTGAGCGAGGATAGGAGGAGTTATAGTAATGTGTATGTCATTTCATCACGCTACAGGTCTCAACACATGATAGAGAGCCTCAAACGTAATTTATTTATTTCGTTTAATTAATTATAACCACAGGATTATTATTAAGTTTAATTTGTTCTCCTGTTCTTGTTTTATGTGAGGAATATAATGTAAATGTTCACTATAATTAATTAATACAGCATAAAGAAGGAAGGAAAGTTTGTCCACTAAATTATTTCTTTACTTGACCATTTACCCAAAGTTGGAAAATTATCACGACAAAAACCATTTAATTTATTTTATATTTTTTTTATTAATAAACACCGTAACTCTAATTAATTTATTCCTGATTATCTTATTTTTCTGTGTTTAGTTAAATAAACTTAAAATACTGTATATATAGTTTAAAGTTCTTGGCTCGTAGCATTTTTTTTAACTTTATTTACTTTAATGTTTACTTTTTAGATTCGAATAAAGACATTTTCCTCGTCTTCATTTCACAGATATTTCCCTACTAACACTCAGAGACAGGGCCAGACTCAGGAGTGGGCAGAGTGGGCAGCTGCCCAGGGGCCTCCACAATCTGGGGGCCTCCACATATTACAATACTTTATTTGTTTATTCATTTGGATTATTTTTATTTTCATTCTTTAAAATTCATGTTTATCTATTCCATCACGTAAACTATGTTCAGTAAGAAGCGTGATAGATATTAGACTAGTTACTCCTTGAAATTCATGAATACCTGGTTTTCTTATGAACTGACTTGAAACCACATGAACCACTCCAGTCATGTCTCACTTTTGTGTGTGTGTTGGGAATTTGTACACTATCAATAAATATACAGTTAATTAAAAATTTCTCAATTCTCTAATTTCCTCAATATAACAGCATATGGCTTCAAAATTCTCCAAAGAAGTGTTCAAATTTCAGAATTTTCCCGGGGACTTACAGCGGCCCCCGGGACTCCCACATGTTTAGGATCACTTCACTCGCCACCCCACCCTCTTGACTTCCCACGGGCCTCCACAGGTCTAAATCCGGCACTGCTCACAGATACTAACAGACAACCACCTCGTTATTAAACCAAACAAAAAATTAAAAGGTTAATCCTAGTATTAACTTCATAGAACATATAGTATCCACATAAACAACAGTAAATTAACTCCTCTTACGTCAGCCAGCGGAACTGATATACTTCATCAAGTTTTACTGTAAAGGTATATTTTCAGTATGTAATATATCATCTTTATAAATATTACGTCATCTGTCTATGATATTAATTGAATATTATAATTTTGAGGATGTTAACTTGTGTATAGAGGTCAAAGGTTACGTTTTTCTAGTTATATAATCCTTTTTTTTTGTTATTGGGCACTCCCCTGTGTAAGGTGAAGTGTTTACAGCGCCCAACAGGGAAGCATGCTGAGTTTATGCTTGTCTTTGTCTCATGAGTTAAGGGCGTAGAAGCCTGAAGAGTCAAGGTGACCAGATTACAACAGGGCATGTACGGTTCAAGAGGGGTCAGGGGGTTTAAACTCGATTCAGGAGATTTTTAATGGATTTAGGGGGGATTTTAATGGGCTCAGGAGGATTTGAATGGGCTCAAGAGGATTTGAATGGGTTCGTGAGGATTTTAATGGGTTCAGTAAGATTTTAATGGGTTCAGTACATGCCCAGTGCTTGCCAACAGTGTGTAACAAGCGACTAACAAGTGGTGAAGAGGATATAGTAAAGTCTACGATAATAAGATTCCGTTTTCTATGATGAAGCCTCGCTGGTGTAAACAATGTGTCCGATTCGGTGTATCAAGATAAGAAAAATTAAAATACAAACGATAATTATTAAATCTGATAAAATAATAACATAAAATAACTAAAAAAAAAATGTTTATGTTTTTATTAATTTATTTATTATTTGTCTTTATGGAGTAATAGAGAATTTAATTTAGTTTTTGTTTAATTATATAATGGGTGAGTGTTCGAAGGATTATTATTACCATGGGAACAAGAGACCATCACATGACGCCCCTCTCAGCTTCATCTCTCACACTGTTTAGAGGACCTGGATAACTCCTACACCTCTCACACTACACACACACGAGCTCTAACATCACCATGAACCTACAGGAGCTGTTATTATGGCTGACAGTGACTCTAAGCTGTGTTATAACTGGTGTGAGATGTATGGAGGTCAACCCTGATATCTATCTTGATGTGGTAAGTTATTTATTCCTTGTTTGTTTTATATAATTTTAGTAACTTAGATGATTTGACTTTTTTTTATTTCAGCTCTTTGTGTTAATACTTGATGACGTGTGGTGACCCAGGGTGATAGTTTTCAATGGTTTAGGGAGGAGTTTACCGAGTGGCGACCCTCTAGAGGTGGTCATGCCTAGGGTAGGTGGCCAGTGTAGGGTCCCTCCATTGTTCTTGATAGTTTAGTTTAGGACGAGTTTGTAGCTCAGTACTGTTCTCTATACCACAGCTTGAGCTGGTAGACTGTTCCAAAGCATTTGACAGGGTATGGCACAAGTCTTTACTTTCTAAACTTCCCTCTTATGGTTTCTCTCCTCCACTTTGTTTTCTAATCTCTAGCTTCCTTGAGAACCGATCCATGGCAGTTGTTGTCGAGGGATCTCTCTCTCTCTCTCTACCAATAGTGGTGCCCCACAGGGCTCTGTTCTTTCACCAACTCTCTTCCTTCTTTTTATCAATGATTTACTTCACACTATGACTAATTCTGTCCATTCTTACACTGATGATTCTACTCTTCACTCTTCTTCACATTTTCCCCTTCCTCCTAACTCTCACTAGATCTGTTTCTAGAGTTGATATCATTACATCTATCAATGCGGATCTGTGCAGCATCTCTGAATGGGGCGGTACAAACTTGGTTAAGTTCAATAGTAATAAAACTCAATATTTACCAATTACACTTTGTAAATTAGATGATCTCCCACCAATTACATTTCAGGACGCTGTTATTCTGCCAAATTCTAAAATAGATATGCTAGGCCTCACCATTTCCTCTAATATGTCCTCAACATTGCTAATGCTGCCTCCCAAAAGCTGGGAATGCTGTACAGATGCCGCAGCTACTTCACTCCTGAGCAGTTGCTTCACGTATATAAGGGATTCATTCGTCCTAACTTGGAGTACTGCTCTCATATCTGGGGTGGCTCTTCAACTGTTACATAGGGTGGAATCAAAGGCATTTCGTCTTATTAACTCTCCTCCTTTAGTTGACAATCTTTCTTCCTTTTCTCTTCGCCACAATGTTGCTTCACTCTCTCTCTTTTACAGGTACTTTAACGGGCAATGTTCGGTGGATTTGGCATCCTGTGTACCGCCGGCAAGGCCGTTGGCACGTAACACTCGTCTTGCCCACGGTGCCCACTGTTTCTGTGTGGATGTCAGTCACACTAGAATAACCCGTTACAGTACCTCCTTCTTTCCTCACACACCCAAACTGTGGAATGCTCTGCCTTCTTTTGTGTTTCCATGCTCTTACAATCTGTCTCACTTTAAAAAGATGGTTTTCCAGCATCTTCGTGGTGTAGATTAATACAGCCTTTTTATTTTCTATTTTTAATTTCTTTTTACTCTTATTATTTTGCCCCCGGGCCCCGTTGTGGGTCAGTGACCTGTGCTCGGGTGGACTAATCCCTGTAAAAAAAAACTTCCATAGGTCTACCACCACCACTTAAACTCACTCACTCTATCACTCAAACACACAAACACTCAAACACACTCAAGGACCTAATCTACCACTCAAACACACACAAACACTCACTCACTCAAACACACTCAATCACTCAAACACACTCAATCACTCAAACACACTCAAGGACCTAATCTACCACTCAAACACACAAACACTCACTCACTCAAGCACTCACCCATGTTCTATAGGAGGAAGGAGATTGTCTAATTTGTGACCAATAATCTGAACATCATCCACTCTGATTAAAATAAGAACAGTCATTAGATTTGTTTGATAAGCCTGAAGGAACATAGAAAACCTAATCAGCGTTATGTACTGGTGATTACAGGTGTAGTGGTCATTACAGGTGTACTGGTCATTAGATTATTTACCTGTGTTTCTTAATCAGTAAACACCTAGAGACAATTAGTCATTATTGTGTATATATTTTGATAACCTAACCTAACCAAACCTAACTTAACTTTATCTAACCTAACCTCACATATCCTAACTTAACCTGTCCTCATATATCCTATCGTAACTTAATCTAACCTAACCTAACCCACCCATTTCCCTGTAGGTACGATTAAGTTGTTAAATCATCGAAAAAAAAAATAACCCGGAGAAACTAAGTAATCCGACACAACTAACATTTATTTTTACCTAACAGCCGTCTTTGGTGGCCAAGTACGGCTACCCCATAGAAACCCACACGGTGATAACGGATGACGGATACATCCTCACGCTGCATCGGATACCCCACGGCCGCCACAAAACCACAGAGGAACGTTCTAGAAACAAAATAGTCTCGCGGGTTCCGGTTCTTATGCAACATGGCTTACTGGCCTCTTCGGCTTGTTGGATACTCGCTCCAGTGGATAAAGCTCCGGGTGAGTGGATAAAGCTCCGGATGAGTGGATAAAGCTCCGGTGAGTGTGTGGTGATGTGGCTAAATTAAGTGGTGTGTGAATTTTTATCACATTTTGATTTTGTTGCATTTCTGATCACATGTTCATATTGTGTCCCATTTTTGATCAGTTCTTCAAATTAACTGTTCTAATTTTGATCAGTTCTTCAAATTAGGTGACCCATTTTGATCAGTTCTTCAAATTAACTGTTTCCAATTTTGATCAGTTCTTCAAATTAACTGTTCTAATTTTGATCAGTTCTTCAAATTAACTGTTCTAATTTTGATCGCATCTCCCTATTTGATTCTAATTTCGATCAAATGTCTAATTTAAGTGACCCATTTTCTATAATTTTATTTTCAATTTATTATTTCTTTTAAACCATAATTATGTGTAATTAATGTTCCTAGTGTTTGATCACCTGATGATTAGACACCCTATGGTACCTCAGGATTAGGTTAGGTTAGCATTATGGTGTTCAATTAAACAGTGAAATAAACTAGGGTGTCTAATCATCAGGTAAAATAAGTGAATCTAATCCTAAGATGCTCAGAGGTGATTTACGAAGATTACCTCAACTTGTTACTGAATCCGTTGCAGCGTACGTCATGGCGAACGCTGGCTACGATGTGTGGCTCGGGAACGCAAGGGGCAACTTCTACTCTAGGGCCCATACACACCTCTCACCTGACGAGAAAGAATTTTGGGATTTTAGGTAAGACTCTGTTTATAATTAGTCCTCTCTGTCCCCCCTCTCCCCCACTCACCTGATGATTAGACACCCTAGTTTATTTCACTGTTTAATTGAACACCTTAATGCTAACCTAACCTAATCCTGAGGTACCATAGGGTGTCTAATCTTCAGGTAAAATAAACTAGGGGTGTATTTAAAAAGAAACGAGATAGGAATCATATTGAGCCTAATTATACTACACAGACTCCAGGAAAAGTCATGTAATTATGTCTTGTTTTTATATATATCTTGATTATTATACTAACTTAATCTAACCTAACATAACATAACCTAACCCTATCAAACCCTAAACTAACCTGACCTAATCTTACATAACACTAATCTAACCTGACCTAACCTGACCTAATCTTACATAACACTAACCTAACCTAACCTAATCTAACTTTCACCTACCATAACCTACATTAACCTAACCTAACCTACCATAACCTACATTAACCTAACCTAACCTACCATAACCTACATTAACCTAACCTAACCCACCATAACCTACATTAACCTAACCTAACCTACCATAACCTAACCTAACCTAACCTGTGTGTTTACTCTTCCCTCTCTACGTGACTCATAAAATAACTCAATATGTCCTTCAGCTGGGACGAAATGGCGGCTCATGACGTACCTGCTGTTATTGACTATATCTTGGCCCATACCAGCCACCCGAGCCTGTATTATATAGGTCACAGTATGGGTAAGTCTGAGTATTATTACCCTGTTGTAGTTGATCCAGCCTAACTTAACCTAACCTAACCTAACCTAACCTGAACCTAACTTAACCTAACCTGAACCTAACTTAACCTAACCTGAACCTAACCTAACTTAACCTAACCTAACCTGAACCTAACCTAACCTGAACCTAACTTAACCTAACCTAACCTAACTTAACCTAACCTGAACTTAACCTAATCTGAACCTAACTTAACCTAACCTGAATCTAACCTAACTTAACCTAACCTGAACTTAACCTAACCTGAACCTAACCTAACTTAACCTAACCTAACCTAACCTGAACCTAACTTAACCTAACTTAAAGCTAACCTAACCTAACCTAACTTGTCTTTACTGTATCTAGGTAAGAATAAGCGTCAGAAAATCCAAGTTATTTAAAGTCTTCGAGGGTGGAGGTTAGCATAGGGTGTAGCTAAGGTAAGATAGCTAAGGTTAACGAGCATACAGGTATAGGTTAGGTTAGGTAGTAAATTTGGATGTTAGGTCAGGTCACATTAGGATAGGTAAGGTTCAGGTTAGGTCAGGTCACATTAGGTTTAGGTTCAGGTTAGGTCAGGTCACATTAGGTTAGGTTCAGGTTAGGTAAAGTCAGGTCACAGGTTTAGGTTCAGGTTAGGTCAGGTCACATTAGGTTAGGTTCAGGTTAGGTTAGGTCACATTAGGTTAGGTCACATTAGGTTAGGTTCAGGTTAGGTCAGGTCACATTAGGTCAGGTAACAATGAGTGATAACAATTCAATACAGTAATAATCAATCATATCTCAGGGACAACCATGTTCTTCGCGAGTATGGCCACACGACCAGAATACCACAGTAAGGTCAGGATGATGTTTGGCCTCGGACCTGTGGCCACCGTAGCCCACGTCAGGAGTCCTATAAGGTTCATCGCACCTTTTGCCGACAATGCACAGGTGAGAATTGTACGGTCTTTGTAAATCTTATTCCTAGTAAATCATTCGAACTTATTATTCGTAAAACCTCCGAACTTATAAATAACTCTTCTTGGACAATATATACATTCCTACCTCATAACCATAACACGATCCCTACCCTAAGCTAACCTACCCTAACCTAACTTAACCTAACCTAACCTAACCTAACCTAACCATAACACGATTCCTACCCTAAGCTAACCTACCCTACCCTAACCTAACCTAACCTAACCATAACACGATCCCTACCCTAAGCTAAGATAACGAGACTTATTATTTTTCCCTCCCGCTTAGGTCTTGTTGAAGCTTCTCGGGAAATATGAGTTCCTGCCCCACAGCCCCAGGTTTGTCAGGTGGACGGAAGCATTGTGCACTCTTCATAAGTTCGAGGAGATCATGTGTAGGAACGCATTCTTCTTCCTCACTGGGTTCGACGCTCCGCAGTTTAATATGGTAAGTAGGGGGGTAGGACGGAGGGAGAGAGATTAAGTGATAGAATGAGAGAGAAAGAGAGATTGATTGATAGAGAGATTGAAAGAAAGAGAGAGAGAGAGAGACCATACAGACCTCACCATAAACACTTTGGTCCGGGGGTTCCATCAACAGACTTGGCTTCCTGTGATCCTCGGCCACACTCCTGCTGGGACCTCCACCAGGACTGTTATCCACTTTGCCCAAGAGATTAACTCAGGTCAGTGTGAGGCAAGGGTGACTTATACCACAGACTGGGGAGTTAAGGAAGAGGAGGATAAAGAGAAGAGAAGGAGGAGAGATAATATGATAATGGGGTAACTGAGAGACAGAGAGAGTTAATCAGTAAAGGGTCTTAGAATTTATATGTTTATAGACAGTACAGGTATACAGGTCAGCATGTAAAGATAGTGTTAGAATTTGCCACCAGAGCATAATTTCACCTTCAGATTAAACTCCTTAATATTTCCCAGACAATTAGATTAGGTTAACATTAGGTTAGGTTAGATTAGGTTAACATTAGGTTAGGTTAGATTAGATTAACATTAGGTTAGGTTAACATTAGGTTAACATTAGGTTAGGTTAACATTAGGTTAACATTAGGTTAGGTTAGATTAGATTAACATTAGGTTAGATTAGATTAACATTAGGTTAGATTAGATTAGATTAACATTAGGTTAGGTTAGATTAACATTAGGTTAGATTAGATTAACATTAGGTTAGGTTAGATTAGATTAACATTAGGTTAGGTTAGGTTAACATTAGGGTGGTTAATCATAAGGTTAAATAACTTCTCATTGTTTTATGGAAATATTTCATGTATAGTGTTTTCACCGAGGCGACACAACACGAGTGAACTAACTGACTAATATATATCAACACCTTTACTATGATCTACACAAGTCAAGAATTTATCATCGAAAAAAACACACGCAATAAAACGCCATCTTTGTCGCAGGTAAATTTTTGCACTACGATTTTGGCCGAAAGGAGAATCAGAAGAGATACCATCAGCCAACCCCTCCTGTGTACACTCTCAGCCACGTGAAAGTTCCTGTTGTGCTTATATGGGGGCAGAATGATTACTTGGCAGACCCACAGGTGAGTACAGGTGTGGGGGCAGAATGATTACTTGGCAGACCCACAGGTGAGTACAGGTGTGGGGTCAGAATGATTACTTAGCAGACCCACAGGTGAATACAGGTGTGGGGGCAGAATGATTACTTGGCAGACCCACAGGTGAGTACAGGTGTGGGGGCAGAATGATTACTTGGCAGACCCACAGGTGAGTACAGGTGTGGGGTCAGAATGATTACTTAGCAGACCCACAGGTGAATACAGGTGTGGGGGCAGAATGATTACTTGGCAGACCCACAGGTGAGTACAGGTGTGGGGGCAGAATGATTACTTGGCAGACCCACAGGTGAGTACAGGTGTGGGGTCAGAATGATTACTTAGCAGACCCACAGGTGAATACAGGTGTGGGGGCAGAATGATTACTTGGCAGACCCACAGGTGAGTACAGGTGTGGGGGCAGAATGATTACTTGGCAGACCCACAGGTGAGTACAGGTGTGGGGGCAGAATGATTACTTGGCAGACCCACAGGTGAATACAGGTGTGTGGAGAGAGAGAGACAGTAAAACCAGCCTGCAAATTTACATCAGTTCTCCCAAGTAAATAGATAGAGGGCTAATCTTCACATAAAATAAGCTGGGAGGGCTAATCTTCACATAAAATAAGCTGGGAGGACTAATCTTCACAAAATAATCTGGAAGGACTAATCTTCACATAAAATAAGGTGGGAGGACTAATTTTCACATAAAATAAGCTGGGAGGGCTAATCTTCACATGCTCACCAACTACAGTAATATCTCCTTTAGTCAGAATTCCCCAAACCCGGAATTTAAATTTTCTCGGAAAATCGTTCCCAAAACCGGAATTTTCAGGAAAATTCCGGCTTTGGGAACGATTTTCAGAGGGGCACATTTTCCGAAAAATTCCGAGTAAATCTTCCCGGTACCCAGAAAATTCCGGGGATGAAGGTTTTTTCCCGGCTCTGAGAGAGTCGTCTCTTTACCCGGAAATCTCTCATTCCCGGAAGAGCTATGCACCAATTGTTGCGGCTAATGGAGACATAACTGTATAAACCACTAAACCTTTACAGTACTTCACAAAATAAACCCAGTCTTTAAAAATGGCTAATATTGACATAATTCTCTTATAAACCACTAAACCTTTACAGTACTTCACAAAATAAACCCAGTCTTTAAAAATGGCTAAATATTGACATAATTCTCTTATAAACCACTAAACCTTTACAGTACTTCACATAACAAACCCAGTCTTTAAAAATGGCTAATATTGACATAATTCTCTTATAAACCACTAAACCTTTACAGTACTTCACATAACAAACCCAGTCTTTAAAAATGGCTAATATTGACATAATTCTCTTATAAACCACTAAACCTTTACAGTACTTCACATAACAAACCCAGTCTTTAAAAATGGCTAATATTGACATAATTCTCTTATAAACCACTAAACCTTTACAGTACTTCACATAACAAACCCAGTCTTTAAAAATGGCTAATATTGACATAATTCTCTTATAAACCACTAAACCTTTACAGTACTTCACATAACAAACCCAGTCTTTAAAAATGGCTAATATTGACATAATTCTCTTATAAACCACTAAACCTTTACAGTACTTCACAAAATAAACCCAGTCTTTAAAAATGGCTAATATTGACATAATTCTCTTATAAACCTAAACCTTTACAGTACTTCACATAACAAACCCAGTCTTTAAAAATGGCTAATATTGACATAATTCTCTTATAAACCACTAAACCTTTACAGTACTTCACATAACAAACCCAGTCTTTAAAAATGGCTAATATTGACATAATTCTCTTATAAACCACTAAACCTTTACAGTACTTCACATAACAAACCCAGTCTTTAAAAATGGCTAAATATTGACATAATTCTCTTATAAACCACTAAACCTTTACAGTACTTCACATAACAAACCCAGTCTTTAAAAATGGCTAATATTGACATAATTCTCTTATAAACCACTAAACCTTTACAGTACTTCACATAACAAACCCAGTCTTTAAAAATGGCTAAATATTGACATAATTCTCTTATAAACCACTAAACCTTTACAGTACTTCACATAACAAACCCAGTCTTTAAAAATGGCTAAATATTGACATAATTCTCTTATAAACCACTAAACCTTTACAGTACTTCACATAACAAACCCAGTCTTTAAAAATGGCTAAATATTGACATAATTCTCTCTTGTTCCAGGACGTGGCTCGCCTGGCCTCGGAGTTACCCCAACTTAAAGCCAGTTTCAAGGTTGAGTTGCCATTATTTAACCACATTGATTTCCTTTGGGGCATTGACGCTGATAAATATGTTTATAGGATCATCTGTAAGTATTTGAAACTATTTTAAAGGATTGGATTCTGTATAAGTGACCTGGAGGAGGATTATAAAGGGTTAAAGTCATCGTACTCAAGGGTTAAAGTCATCGTACTCAAGGGTTGAAGTCATTGTACTCAAGGGTTGAAGTCATCGTACTCAAGTTTTGGTGTTGTACTCAAGTGGTTGCTATCGTACTCAAGGGGTAACCAATTAAGATGAGTGGGACCATTTATACACTATTTACAGGGACCATTTACACACTATTTACAGGGACCATTTACACACTATTTACAGGGACCATTTATCGTAATTATAATAAGATAAATATATATATGGTTAATAATAATAGATGTAGTCTCCCATAAGGTATCGGCCAGTTTCTTTATCAATATAATATGTCACAATGGACGAGTATTTGTGATTCCTGCATAAAGTCGGTAGGTCTGCCTTTCTAGTATCTGTGAAGCTATCAGTTATTATTTATGGCATTTGTTCCATATTTAGTAGAATATTATATTAATGGCAGTCAAATAGCGGGTGTGTTCTGCCGGTAACTCCCGACAAACACCAGTACCCGGGAGTCATTGGAAAACACGGCTTGTACCGACAGATATCGTCTCGTAGTGTGTGTCAGATAATGTTCAGTTGCCAGCACTTATCAGAATGTCATTGTAATTGGATATGGGAAATTAATGTAATGTCTGATCGTAGTGTTTTATATTTCGTTCGAAGCGATTCCACCGTAACTTCGGTTCATGAAAACATAGTACTAATGTTATATTCCTATTTGTCGACCCATCCCCTGAGGCTGAAGTAGTATCTAAGGTGCCATAAACCAGTGGAGTTGCTCATGACGTTATTGGTTTTGTATATGACATCACAGTTCATCACATTATGTAGACAACAGGTGATGTACTGCAGGTATGGTCATTATCAGGTACAAAAGGAACGAACGAAAGAGGCAACTCACAATAAGGAATACCAACCTAACCTAACCTAACCAACCTAACCTAACCTAACCTAACCCAACCCAACCTAACCTAACCTAACTTGGGGCGATGTTGTTGTGTTTATTTCCAAATACATCCGGTCCGGGGTGGGGGGGGGGTGTGTACAGGGTTTATTAGATCACCCTGTACAGTACTGCATTATAATGTACATGGGTCAATGTTCAAGAATTACCTGTAGATTAACACCCAACTTAACCTTAATCCAGCTTATTTCACCTTAAGATTAACCAACCAAACTTAACCTAACATTAACCTAATCTATTTCACTTTGAGGTTAACTACACCAACTTAACTTAAACCTAACCTAATTTAACACTAACCTAACCCAACCTAACCTTAACCTAACTTAACCTAATCTCCAAGGTGGCATCAGGGTGTTTAATTATCAGGTGAAGTAAGCTGAGAGAGGGGGTGGTAATGTTCAGGTGATCCTAATTTTACACACGATGCATAAAATCATAAACGGAGACGCTTGTTTACGTTTCTCGGTGTTATTCAAGTTTATTTATTACTTCCAGCTTCTTCACATGACGGGAAAATTTCATCTCTGGGGTCAGTTATTCGTGCCTGTTATATAAAATGTTTCTCTTATTTTACTTATTTTTTTACTTATAAATTTTTCTTATTTTACTTATTATAAAATGTATCCTTATTTTACTAGTTTATTATGAAGTGTTTCGTGCTCAGCTGCTCACACTACACACCGAGGTGAAAAAGAGAGCCGGGTCACTTCTCGAGGAACCTTCTCACCTCACCTCATGTCTGTGTGACTGACATGCAATAAACACAACGGCCGCCGGGGTTTGATAAATTGATCTAAGGCTCGACGAATGTACGTACACACTAGGTCACTCTTACAGCCGTGTGGGGTCCACCCAGGGTACACTACTGACCCAGGGTACACTACTGACCTGGGGTACACTACTGACCTGGGGTACACTACTGACCCAGGGTACACTACTGACCTGGGGTACACTACTGACCCAGGGTACACTACTGACCCAGGGTACACTACTGACCCGGGGTACACTACTGACCCAGGGTACACTACTGACCTGGGGTACACTACTGACCTGGGGTACACTACTGACCTGGGGTACACTACTGACCCAGGCACACTACTGACCCAGGTACACTACTGACCCGGTACACTACTGACCCAGGGTACACTACTGACCTGGGGTACACTACTGACCTGGGGTACACAACTGACCTGGGGTACACTACTGACCTGGGGTACACGGCATTTGTCAATCTTTAGATGATAAATTGTTTCTATTTTATTTATTACTAGTTGAATTATTCGCCTTTGCGCC